TAACATAAGCCGACTAATAATTGAACGGGAGAATTTTCTCTCATATATAGTTTTTTTAGATATAACAAGATAAGCTTGCTTGCTAATAATTAAGCGAAAAAATTCTTTCTCTCTCTCATATGTAGTGCTTTTAGTTATTAAAAGATAAAGTTGCTAACAATTGAGCGGGAGAATCATCATATATGTAGTTGTGTTTAGTATAAGATAAGCCGACTAACAATTAAAGAGTATAATTTTTTCTCTCATACATAGTGCTTTTAGGTATAAGATAAGATAATCCGGCTAACAATTGGGTGGGATAATTTTTTCTCATACGTAGTTGTTTTAGGTATAACAAGATAAGCCGGCTAAGAATTGAGAAGGATAATTTTCTCTCACACATATTAGCACTAATTTACTAATGAATGACAAGTTATTATTTAACTAATATTCATTAATTTTAATATTTATTGTGTTCACTTAAACTTTACATCACTCACTTATTGAATTCACTTTTTTAGAATAATATTCAATTTTAAAATTAATCTAATCATGAAAATGAATAAGTAGCAAATTCTAATGAGTAGTGTCAATTAACTTTTCCTAATATACTCTCCATTGAATATGTATTCTATGGGCTTATATTTCATGGCATTAGCTTATTGAACTACTATTTTTTCGTAAATGTAGAATCCTAATAAGTTGTTTTTATTTTAATATTTAATTAGATCATGAGTAAAAATATATGCAACAACTGATGTGTCCCATGCGTATGCACGGGTGCTATACTAGTAACGTGTTAAATGATTTTTAAGGACATCAATTAAATTTTTATAATGTAATTTGTACAACTACTTGTACGGTACGTTTTTGTCATTTTAAAAACTTTTTTTTATCGAAGGGGGCTTACATTAATGAAATAGCAATCAGATAGGGTTTGAAATATCAAAAGGACCACATGTAAGTATGTAACCATCCGCCCTTGGATCAGACTCAGAATTAATCACATTTGACAAAACAATATAACTCGTTGATCCTAACTTGGGCATAATCAAACCAATGACGATTACCAGACCCCATCCCTGAGGCCCCACAGCACCGACCGGACAACGAGATGGGAGGATGTAAATTGAGGTTTGATCTTACTCTAATAGAAAGAGAGTGAAACTTTATCCCAAATCATTACTTGGAGTTGAACCCGAGACCCCTCCCTTGGGGCACTCCCTTCCTACCAGGTGAGCTACGCCCCCGGTAGGACGAAGCACATATATAAATCGAATCAAAGCTTCGAATTGATAGGCACAATCTTTCACATCGTAAAGGAGAATTTGACTTTGCACCCCACTTTTTGGATAATATTGGACTTTGCACCCCATTTTGAAAAAATTCTGACTTTGCACCTCATTCTACTTAAAAATCCTTTGACTTTGCATGTCATTTAGAAAATTTTCTTCACAGAGTGTTATGTGTTGGGGTGCAAAATCAAAGTTTTTTCAAATTGGTCGGGATGTAAATGTTGGAAAATGTGTCAAAGTGGTTTCGGATTGTCCTTGTTAAGAGGGCTACAATTCGATATGTGGTACGCTCAAAACGGATAACGGGTGAATGAGAAATTGATTCTCGAAGTTTACCCGTTAGAATGGGAAAACTGGGAAAAAGGATGGGTTCTAGTGTGTTATTTCCCACACCGGAAAACCCGAGGGATTTGCAACCCTTTATAAAGGGACTCTCCCCTTAAGGAGTTAAGATTCCTTAGTGTAAAGGCTCTCTCCACGCGCGCAGGGGGGGTGCAAATCAAATCCCGAAATCGGAGAAGAAAAATCGCGACTTGCGTGCGCGGGCGACCTGCGGACACGAATGTCATCCAAAAATCTATCTCTCAAGAGATACGGTTAATTTTTGTTTTCTTCCCGAAACGTTTATTTTTTCCCAGCGGCAGAAAGGCTTCGGACAGGAGAAGGCCTCGGCCAGAAACGCCTCAGACAAAAGGCTTCAGACAGAACCCCTTCGTAGGGTGTTCTGTTGCCTTCGGACAGAACACCTCGTAGAGTGTTCTGTTGGGGGGTCTTCTGGTCGCGCAACTGGACGTTTTGAACCGTTACAACAATAAATGCTCAATGTTCTTATCTTTTAATGCAGCGTTAAATGGACAGTTCATGGACGATTCAATGCCCAACGGACTGGTCATTGATGTCCAACGTTCAGGTCCATTAATTCACCATTTACACACAACAAATCCTCCTATATAATGGTTGGCATGTGGTTTGCAACAACACAAGTTCTTACACATTCCTCACGTATTTCTCAGCTCTAAAAACACCACCAGTCCTCTGAAAATTCCTGAGTGTTTAGACTTTGTTCTCGTTCGCTGGAACTCTTGTTTGTGTGCTCAAGCATTAGTTCGTAGTCATCGTATCCTGAGAAACGATTGTTGCAACGCTCCTAGCACAGTGGGAGGCAACAAATAAGTTTTAAGGACTTCGTGCGTAGCACGAGCTTTGGCTAAATTCTACTTCATCTCATTTCTTGTTTTTCTTTAGTCATTTTAATTAATTTGTTTCAATTAATTTTTCATTGTTTTCCGAAACACACCCAACCGTAAAGTCCAATATCACCCAAAAAGTGGGGTGCAAAATGAAATTCTACCTTTAATTTTTGATCGAACTGACGGAGCTTGAGCTTCATAAATCTTCGCAAGTCCTAACTCAAAATTTTAAAAAGCCATGTTATTCTAGACACTTGGTGATAATTTTTTTCTAAAGCAACTAACGATTTGCTAATCCTTGCAATCGACGATGCTAGCGATCTTGCCGACACAACTTACTAATACGAAGTACTACGTAACGAATGGAACTAGTAGAAGTGACTAAGTGAGTGCCTCGTAAGAATGTAAGATCAAACGAGTAATTTTCAGATCTTAGCAACGTTCCACATCACCCCTCCTACTCGTAGTCTTACGAGCCAACACACTATCCTAACAAGACTTTGGATATTTTATTGGGAAAATGAAAACTAATAATCCAACCTTTTAGCGGTCTTCTTTTAATAGTCTCACATTTTCGTTATTCATGAATAATCCAACCTTTGCACCTCATCTTCATTCACTGGTCCCTGACCGGTTGATGACCTGCTATTCCAAGTTATTTTCTTATCTTTGCAAAATATTATCTTTGTAAAAGGTGGAATTTATGGTATAATAGTTTGCAGAGATGAGAAAATAACTCGGAATAGCAGGTCATCAACTGGTCGGGGACCAATGAATGAAGATGAGATGCAAATGTTGGATTATTCATGAATAACGAAAATGTCGGACTATTAAAAGAAGACCGCTAAAAGGTTGGATTATTAGTTTCCATTTTCCCTATTTTCTTTTGGATAATTTTCAGTCCCAGATCAAACCAGATTAGACCAGATCACACTAGACTAAACGAGATTTCCATAGTTATAAAATACATAGACTAACAAGGTGTTTACTTCGCTGCTAAAGTCACAGTTAGGTTAGTAAGACAGATGAAGTAAACACACACGCCGCTTAAAAAGCCGCTTACTAACCAAAAAACGTGCTTAAAATGCCGCTTACTAAGCATACCACCCCCCATATATTAATTAAGTGACACTTTAAGCTTTTTCAGTTTCCGAATTTACCCCTTGCCCTTACCCTATTGTTACCGCCAACCCTGCCTCTACTACCCGACCCCCACCTCTATCCTATCCTATCCTATCCTACCCTATTCCTACCCCTACCCTAATTTACCCCAACCCTACCTGCCCGACCGCACCCCACCTGGCCCCTCCTACCCTACCCACCCCAAACCCCTAGGCCCTTACAACCTACCCTAACCCTACCATATCTGCCCCACCCGACCCCACCACCACCCTACCCCCTACCACATCCATGTCCACCCCAACCCCCTACCCCATTCGGCCCCACCTATCCTAACCCCTACCCTACCTTACCCCGACCCCACCCTACCCTACCTACCTGACCCCACTCCAAAACCCCTTAGGCCCTTACTGTACCCCTACCCTACCACATCGACCCTTCATCCCCGACCCCACCCTACCCTACCTTACCCCCACCCTTTCCATATATACCCTACCACATTGGCCCCACCCCGATCCCACCCCTACACCCTTACCCTTACCACCCTGCCCCAACCCCTACCCCCTACCACATTGGTTCCACCTCCGACTCCACCCTATGTGGGGTAGGATGGCGGTAGGGGGTGGGCCGGGATCTGGGTGGAGTCGAGGTAGGTCATGTTGTAGGGGGTGTGGGTGGGTGGGGTGGAGTTGGGATCGGGGTGGGGCCGAGGTAGGGGTCGGGATCGGGTTGAGATAAGGTTGGTAGGGTTTAAGGGGTTAGGGTAGGGGCTGGGGTCGATGTAAGGTAGGGTAGGGGTAGAAGTAGGGGGTGGGGTGGGATTGGGGTCTGGGTAAGGTAGGGTAGGGTAGGTAGAGGGTATGAGTTAGGGTATGATCGGGTGGGGCGGAGTGGTAGGGTAACGACCTCGGAATAGGGGTGGGGTCAGGGGTCCGATTGTGGTAGGGGGTTTGTGGTAAGGGCCTAGGGCTAGGGGTTGGGGTGGTAGGGGTAGGGTGGGGTTGGTGTAAGGTAGGGTAGGGCAGGGAAAGAGTATGATAGGTAGGGTGGGGTGGGGCTGAGGTGGTAGGGTGATAAGGGCCTAAGGGAAGGGGTAGTGCCTAGGGATGGGGTTGGTGGGGTCGGGGTAAGGTAGGGTGGGGGTAAGGGGTTAAGAGGGTATGGGTACACATATTATTATATGTGTGTTCATGAATGTTTGAGTGTCGATATATGTATAGGGTTATTTTGGACATTTTGATGTTAAACGGTGTTTTAAACCTTTTGAAGTAAACACGATCTTATAACATTGTTTATTTTATGCGTCACTTATTAACGCGGGCCTTAATAAGAACTATTTAGTAACCCGTGTAAACATGTGTTAAATACGGAATATTTACACAAGACCGATTCAGAACAGAACACGCCAAACTAGATGGGACTAGACCTCAAGAGAATTGAGTAGTAAAGTAAACGGAATTGAAGGAGTAGGAAGAGAATTTAGAATTAAGGTATAATTTGGGAGTGGTAGACGATTACTGGAGAAGCTTCGGCGCTTACCGAATAAGTGAATAGCAGAGGCAGTGATACGAACGAGAGGATTAGGGTATGTTTTTTCAATTATTGAAATTATTACTATTAATTCATCGCTCACCCTCTATTGTGTACGCCTCAGGCAAAAAATTGCAGTTTTCATATGGCGTTAAACGCCACACGCCTCTAATCGCACAAGACCATAAATCGATAGTTCAATTCTATTAATAAATTCTAAATTGTAAACTAGAATAAGCACAATAGCCAAACACCTATCCCTTGTGTGCAATGTTCCTCCCTATCCTGGGAGCTCTTCTTAATCTGGTGGGTCTAACAAATTAGTCTGTTTGGGTCAGTTGTTTCATATAGATTCAGTACTGTTGCACTTTTTCAGAAACTGCAAAGTGTAGAGTGTTTCAGGTACAATTTTCCTAATTATACGGAGTATGTATTAACTTAAGTGTAAAGTGAGTTATAGTCACGATTACAGCTTACAAGGTCACTTTTACGAGTCAAGATTATGTAGTCACTGTAAGTATATTAAGATTGTGTTTAAAACTTGTATGAAGCGCAATAGTCACTACCCACTACAGTGAGAAGAATGTGTTTGGTTCAGCGTGTAGCTAGTCATTGTATGTCTCTTAAAACTTGTATGTAGATGATGCAACAAAGCAGTACCTATAGTGACTACTGACTAGTATGCCTTTGTTTCAGGTAAGTGAATTGTAGTCTACTAGTCATGAATCACGATTTTTGTGTGTGTAGTTAGTAACTATTAGTTGGTTGTAGAAACCATGTGTTGTGTGAGTGCAATCAGTCCATAAAATTGCAGTCAAACATTTTAGGGCCTGCTACAGCACCTTATTAATGGAAAGTTCTTTTACTTCTTATCCCATTGTTCTGGAAGCGCACTAATACTACTAGGTTTACACTGAGGAGCAGTGATGTATTACCTGAGATATATTACAAAGGAGAAAACATCTGAAATATGTGATACTTTATCGAGATCAGAAGAAGTTTTGCAGAATTTGGCTCTACTTTGAAAATTGCGGTAGAGAGATTTTTAGGGGAGACAGTTTACTACGTATGCTGGAAGGATAAATTAGGAACACAATTAAATCTTATTTTCCGTTTTAAATAACGGTAGAGAACTAGTAATATTTTTGTGCAGCATGTTTTCAATAGTAATATTAAGAGTGATTTGCCTAAATAAGACTAAAACAAGGTAGAATTGCAAAAATAGGACTTCTATGTTTTATTTAACAAAAATAGGACTAAAAAAAGGTAACCAGACAAAACTGCCCTTCATTAATTAAAAAGAGACGCACACCATCGACGCACGGCCGCTCCGATCCTTGCTCAGACGGCAAGATTGAATCTCTCGTCACCATGGTCGATTATGGCCTCACCTGCTTACCCAGGTGCTCTTCTTCCTCCCCTCCTCCTCCTCCTTCTCCTCCTCCTTCCTCCTCATCTTTTCTTTTTTTTGGTCTTCTCCTTCCTATCCTCTTCCATGTTGGGTCCTCTGTTATCTTCCTCTTTAGATTTAAATATTAATTTTTGAATGTTTCAAATGAAGATGAATATTAACTTGAATTTCTTATTATCAATTTTGAATCTCAAAATTCCCTGACTAATGAATCCATAAAATGTCACTTTTTGAATAAGAGAATGTCATAATTTTTGGGTATTTTCACAAAATGTTACTTTTATGTCATTGCAATATTTAGAAATGCCATATTGAGAATGTCATGTTTCATTATTGTTTCATTATGCATATTAAGTGACATTCTCGCATATCAACTGGCATTCCTAATGGAGGGCAGATCCTTTGTCACTTCTATGTCATTACAATATTTGGAAGTAGAAAATGTCACTTTTTATGACATTACATTTGCTAAGGTGACAATTTCAAAGAAGAGAATGAAATTCGAGTAATAAAAGTGACATTTTCGAAACAGAAGTGACATTTTTAGATTGTCATCTTGATAAATGTAATATCACAAACATGACAATTTTTTTTCAAATAACCAATAATTTTGACATTCTCATAATATACAAGTGGCATTTTACTGAATAAATAAAATTCAAATCTAAAAAATCCAAATTATTTAAAATCCAAAAAATCCAAAGAAGAGAACGGAGGACCAGCAATTTGAGGAGGATTAGAAGAAGGAGAAGGAGAAGGAGAAGGAGAAGGAGAAGGAGAAGGAGAAGAAGGATACCTGTGGTCGATGGTGGAGTTGCAGTGCATAGCCATAGTCGATGGCGGAGCTACTGTCAAGGGATGTGCGGAGTGCTGCTGCTACAATGAACTTCTATCGCAGATTGCAAAAGGGGCCAGCGATGCGCTGCGGATGTGCGTGGCCGACGATTTGCAGAAGGGGGCGAGAGATTGGGGTTTTAATTGCAGAAGGGCAAAAGTGTAATCTGGAGTCCCATTTAGGCAATTTAAAACTTGAAGTCCTATTTTGGAGTTTTAACTATGTTTTAGTCCCATTTAGTATAATTACTATAATATTAATGGAATTTTTCTTTGCGTAAACAAATGCTATATGTTTTGTATTTTGTTGAGAAAATTACGAATATATAATGTTAAGGATTTCATAAAGTATGTGTTTATTTATTTTGTAGCATAATGTAAGACCTTTATTAAAGTATTGCATTTTTGTTATGTTTAAACATTTAATTTTAAATAAACTATATGACAAACACTATGCATAGGGGCCTTTTATACATTCAATCGATCTATTCTTCAAACAGCGGGAGGGATGAGAAACTCAAGCTTTAGAGTTTGGACCAGAGAAGAAAAAGGTCACACATTTGTTTTCCAATTTCGATAAAAATTTAAAAGTTTACGTAAGTAATTCAAAGTATCTTGATATTAGAAGGTTGAGAAGTGTTCTCAAAGAATTTATGGGTTTTTCAGTTAATCAAAACCATAATTTTAAAATTTTGGAAGATGTATAGTACTACGTATATATGCAAAAACTGAAGTCATAGTTGAATTATTGACCATGTTATTTATTTACTCTTGATTTTCTTTATGTAGGTTATACTTTTAGTTTATTTTATGAACTAGACGGCCTGGGCTGAAAAAACTCTTTGATAGATAAACGGGAAATAATGGCCATAGCCAAAACCCTTTCAATTTAATATCAGTTGGGAAATAAATTCTTTTCACCCACACACTGCTTTTGTTTTTGCAGGGAATTACATTGTAGGCTGTTGGAAGAGATCATAGAAGTCGAGTAAAGTGAAAGATAATGATGACGATTAGCAGCAACAGAATTAGCAATAAGGATGATGAAGCTGATGATGACAAACAAAGGGAGTGGTCGGATCTGTGCGAGGACCTCTTGTCTTCCATACTCTCACGGTTAGCCATCGGAGACTATCTTACTTTCAAGTCAGTATGTAAATCATGGAAAGCAGTAGCTCTGCCTCCTCTTCCATCATCAATGTCATTACTTGATCACTGCCCGCATGATAAGGACTCATACCATGACCCGTATCTCATGTACTTCACCAGCAAAATCGGCTTCTTCAACTTCCACGATCCAACACGTAATGCCACTTATTCACATAGCATTCCTCCCTTGTTGGATGATGAAATTGGTGAAGTTGAACTTTTTTACGCAAGTCGTGGCTGGTTGCTTCTTGGTAAAGGTAGGCAGTCATATTTTTTCTATAACCCGTCAACCAAGGTTAAAATAGACCTCCCTGACACGCTTGAACCGTTGGAGTGGGCATGTTTTTCTGGATCACCAACATCTGCCTGGTGTGTATATGGCATTTATAGCTGCCATACATCTATCACTTTAATTGCAACGTTAAAATTGGGTGAGACACGTTGGTCAATGTGTTTCCCTCAGAATGTAGGAAACAATTTTTTTTGGTTCCAATTGCTCCCCTGTTGTGCGCAATGGATTCATTTATGTTCTAGGGGAATCTGGAAATCTAGGAAAGTTTTGGCTTACGTCCAAGGGGTTGGAGGAACTGTGTGACTGGAAGATCATTGGCAAGCATAATAAAAACCAGTTTTTAAAATTTCAAGATCAGTTTCTCTTGGAGAGTGACGGCAATCTAATATGTGTTGCAACTCTTGAGGGCGGTGAAGTTCGGGTGTTGAGGTTCGATGATTATAATAACATTTGGCGGAAGATAGAGAATCTGAATGGGAAATCATTTTATGTTTCTCACAGAACATCCATATCGCGGAAAACAACCGTTAGCGGGACAGGAAACAAGATCTTTTTTCCGAGGTTCTACGACGGTGTTGGGATATATTATCCCGGCCTATTACTGTTCAGGAGCCCAAGACATTATCCAGTACGGAGCCCGAGCAGCTAGGCCCATTTCGGCCCATCCGGCCCACTTTGACCACCAGGCCTGATATCGGCCCGTTTGGCCCATTAGGGTGGAGAGCCCCTTCTCTCCTTCCCCTATAAATACGGAGCTTAGCCTCCATGTAAAGGATCCCCTTTTTCCTTTCTTCTTCTCCCTCCTTAGCTAGATTAGAACTCCATTAATGGGAGCTTCAAACAAATTGTACTATGTAATGGTGAGGAGAGTCCTAATGAGAAAGAGAGGGCTTGGACATTAGCCTAAAAAGTCCCGTGGTTTTCTCCCTTTCGGGTTTCCACGTAAAAACTGAGTTGTTCATACACATTTATACATATATTTACTATATCGTGTTGGATTAAACTCAACACTGGCGCCGTCTGTGGGAATCTGTTCAAAAAGATTCATGTGTTCTATGAAAAAATCATATGAAATGGACTGATTCCAGCAAAAAAAGAAGAAAAATGGATTCTGAGAAGTTCTTAGACCTAGTAAGAATCGGAAGAAATAACGATTGCCGACCCAGTCCGGCCGCGACGCTGCACCAAGACGGAGGTGGAGTGCGAGCTCCGCCCTCCAACTTCGTCACCCAGTCGCAGCTCCTTCCTCCAGTCGCGGCACCGGCGGACATCGTCGCAGGGGCTCATCAACTTCACCGAGCTCAAGGAGGGGACATTTTGAAGCTCTGTCGGACTCCCACCGGAGGCCGGCCTCCGTCGCCGTCCTTGCACCTTCGGCGACCTTCACTGACAACTGCCAGCAAGCGGCCAGCAGGTGGACAGCACTTCGGTTTGTTCTTGGTTGGAAGCAAGCCACGTCGTGGAAGGAGGGATGTGGACCAAGTCCTCATTTGGGGATTGACGAGCTTCGCATTAGTCATCATGTGGGAAAGTGATTGTTGACTCGGTCAACATATATTCCTTGGGGCATTCCAAGCCGAGACGTACGCTACAAGAGCTAAGTTTCACAAAAAACCTTCACCATTTGCTAATTTGAGTATTAATTGGAATAATGTTCCTTTACTATTATTATTTTATCACCATTATTTATTAGGGATTAGAATCTCCCAAAATTAAATAATGTCGAGCGACGCTCTTGTGATAATTAGTTTTCACCATCATTTTAATTAATGATTGGTTGTTATGGGCCCGTCGGCCCGCTCCTGATCGGCTTTAATTAGCGAACGGAGTATACTTGAATGGCCTTTGATAGGAAAGTATCATTGCTATTACATGTTATATCACTATTATTTATTGGGGATAAATGTCCCGAATTAAATAATGCGGAGCGAGGCTCTAGTGATAGTTAGTTCGGCCAATATTTTATTGAATATTTAATTTTTCGTGGGGCCTGTTGGCCCACTCTCGATCAGCTTGATTAAGTGATCCGAGCGTCCCCGGAAAGGCGATGCCCCGACGACGCATTTTAATTTGAGGGGTGCGCATTAGTCCGCACGGCACTACGTGCCCGATCGACGATCATACCCCAATGTAATCCGCGCCGCTAGGCGCGAAGTGACTATTGCCAAACGTGGCCTATGGGGCCCGAGGGCACCAAAGCACTCAACCTCGTTTTTCCGAGGGCAGTGCGACTAACTTGGGTCTGAGTTTGAAAACTCACAGACCAATGAGTATTTCTATGTGACGTTCGGCGGGCTGCTAATTGGCCTCGCCGCGAGCTGCTACGTCCCTTAACCCCGCACGATGAGCCGGGCCGAGGGTCACGATGACCCATAGGCCGGTAATCGTGGATGTTAAAGAGAAAGCCATGCAGATGGTTATGTGTGTATACATATTGTCGGGCCGTGCGGCCCGTTACCATGTTTATTGCGCAGCTGAAGCCACTCGATGCGCTCGAGCGAAATGATTAAAAGATGCTCGGCCCGAGTCTTAAAGACATTCAGGGCCAGCTAAAGAGGAGACCATCACGGCTGAGGACCGTGAGACGAGCATCTCCACCTAGAGGCTGAGGGCCTAGAGGAGACCACCACGGTTGAGAACCGTGGGACGAGCATCTCCACCCCAGAGACCGATGGCCTAGGAAGAACACCTAGAGGCCGAGGGTCTAGAGGGAACTATCACGGCGAAGAACCGTGAGACGATCATCCATCATTCAGAGGCCGAAGGCCTAGAGGAGACCGTCACGGCCGGGGGCCAACCGACATCATCATATCACGACCGGCCTCCCGGCACGGCGTGATCATCTTTTGAAGACCGGCCTCGTCCCCGCGCTGCGCGGACGAAGACCGTTGCTGAATTTCTTCCAGGTCGGCCTCTCATCGCCGACACCATTATACCACGACCGGCCTCTCGGCTCGGCGTGCTTATCTTTTGAAGACCGGCCTCGTCCCCGCCCTCGCGGACGAGGACCGTTGCTTGATTTTCTCAGATCGGCCGCTCATTGCCGACACCATTATACCACGACCGGCCTCTCGGCTCGGCGTGCTTATCTTTTGAAGACCGGCCTCGTCCCCGCCACCTCGCGGATGAGGACCGTTGTTTGATTCTTTCAGGTCGGCCTCTCACTGCCGACACTATCATGTTATGTTCGGCCTCTCGGCACGACATATTTATCTTTTGAAGACCGGTTTCATCCCCGCGTTGCGTTGGATGAGAGCCGTTGCTCGGATATATCGGCCTGACCGGACACTATTGCCATCTCCATTATCAGGACCGACTGCTCAGCGACATTGTGATCATTTGTATATCGGCTCCCAATGCCGACCCTCTTGAGTTAGCGATCGGGCTCACCCCTCCCTTCAGGAGGGTGACCATCGCCTTCGCATGACGACCAGCTATTCTATCGCCTCGTCGTTATATTTGTTCGCCATGCCACCACCATTATGTGTGACATCCCGTGATCCCTGCGAGTTTCTTGGATACCGAATTTCTTCTTCGATGTAGGAAGATCGGTAGGACCACGGACCAGGGACGGACAAAGAAGAGCTAGGGAATCTCGATGTAGATAAACCTGTTCCTCCTTGCGAGTTTCGCGGATACCGAACGTCTCTTCGAAGCAAGAGCGCCGGTAGGACCAAGAACCAAGGACGAACGAAGAATATAGATTGCCTCCCTCAAAAAAAAAAAAAAAAAAAAAGATGGGGAGAAGAGGAGGGTAGCTCCTATATGGAAGGGAATCTTGCCCGGGCGTGCCAGATCTTCTCCCACCGCCGAAGACGAACGCCCCTCGATGTAGAGGTTAGTAGAGACGCGGAGGGGGCTAGACGAACCAAGGGAGCCTTGCCAAGATAAACCTGTTTATCCCACAAATGACCATGGATCGATGGACGTGGGATAACAAAGACGGGAACCCGTGAGGGTAGACCAGTTCGTCCCTGCGAGTCCTTGGGTACCGAACGTCCTCTTCGAAGCAAGAGACGTCGGTAAGGCTAAAAGGACCACGGACGAACGAAAAAAGGGGGGAATCTCGATGTAGATAAACCTGTTCCTCCTTGCGATGTCGGCGGACACCGAACGTCTCCTCGAAGTAGGGACGCCGGTGGGACCAGGGACCAAGGACGAACGAAGACTAAAAGACTCCAAAAAAAAAAAAGAGAAAAAAAAAAAAAAAAAAAAAGAAAGAAAGATGCCAGAAGAGCACGGAGCAAAGAATGATTTTATCCCTCGGCGCTATTGGCCGGGAAGTACAAACTGAAAAACATATGTAAAAGAATAATTACAAAACTTAAGTACGAAGAATGAGGTGGCCGACGACGATCGGCTAACATCAGGTTTTCTTTTGTCTTAAACGACGAATACCAGCTCCCCAGATCAGGTAGGAGGGACATCGCCCGGATTTATTTCAGGCTCACCATTCCTTCCCGGATGGAGTCCTGGCAGACGATCGGCTTCTCACAGCCAATCAGGAGAGAGACTTGACACATCACCAGCACGGCCGAGGGCCGCGAGAGGCCGAGGGCCATGAGATGATCATCACTATTTTTCTGTATCACGATCGGCCCCTCAGCGCCATCGTGTTCAGATTCACGGTTCGGTTCGCTCATTCCCTCCAGGATGGCGGCGACCGTCTTATGCAGCACGATCGGCTTCTCAGCGCCATCGTGTCTGGCTTCACGGTTCGGCTCGCCCATTCCCTCCAAGATGGCGACGACCGTCTTATGCCGTACGATCGGCCCCTCAGCGCCATCGTACCCAGCTCACGTTTAGCTCGCCCATTCCCTCCAGGATGGCGACGAACGTCCTATGCAGTGCGATCGGCCCCTCAGCGCCATCGTATCTGGCTTCACAGTTCGGCTCGCCCGTTCCCTCCAGGATGGCGACGACCGTCTTATGCAGCACGATCGGCTTCTCAGCGCCATCGTGTCTGGCTTCACGGTTCGGCTCGCCCATTCCCTCCAGGATGGCGACGACCGTCTTATGTCGTACGATCGGCCCCTCAGCGCCATCGTATCTGGCTTCACGGTTCGGCTCGCCCATTCCCTCCAGGATGGCGACGACCGTCTTATGCCGTACGATCGGCCCCTCAGCGCCATCGTACCCAGCTCACGTTTAGCTCGCCCATTCCCTCCAGGATGGCGACGAACGTCCTATGCAGTGCGATCGGCCCCTCAGCGCCATCGTATCTGGCTTCACAGTTCGGCTCGCCCGTTCCCTCCAGGATGGCGACGACCGTCTTATGCAGCACGATCGGCTTCTCAGCGCCATCGTGTCTGGCTTCACGGTTCGGCTCGCCCGTTCCCTCCAGGATGGCGACGACCGTCTTATGCAGCACGATCGGCTTCTCAGCGCCATCGTGTCTGGCTTCACGGTTCGGCTCGCCCATTCCCTCCAGGATGGCGACGACCGTCTTATGTCGTACGATCGGCCCCTCAGCGCCATCGTATCTGGCTTCACGGTTCGGCTCGCCCATTCCCTCCAGGATGGCGATGACCGTCTTATGCCGTACGATCGGCCCCTCAGCGCCATCGTACCCAGCTCACGTTTAGCTCGCCCATTCCCTCCAGGATGGCGACGAACGTCCTATGCAGTGCGATCGGCCCCTCAGCGCCATCGTATCTGGCTTCACAGTTCGGCTCGCCCGTTCCCTCCAGGATGGCGACGACCGTCTTATGCAGCACGATCGGCTTCTCAGCGCCATCGTGTCTGGCTTCACGGTTCGGCTCGCCCATTCCCTCCAGGATGGCGACGACCGTCTTATGTCGTACGATCGGCCCCTCAGCGCCATCGTATCTGGCTTCACAGTTCGGCTCGCCCGTTCCCTCCAGGATGGCGACGACCGTCTTATGCAGCACGATCGGCTTCTCAGCGCCATCGTGTCTGGCTTCACGGTTCGGCTCGCCCATTCCCTCCAGGATGGCGACGACCGTCTTATGTCGTACGATCGGCCCCTCAGCGCCATCGTACCTGGCTTCACGGTCCGGCTCGCCCATTCCCATCGGATGGCGACGACCGTCTTATGCATCACGATCGGCTTCTCAGCGCCATCGTGTCCCTTTCACGTTCAGCTCGCCCATTCCCTCCAGGATGGCGACGAACGTCTTATGCATCACGATCGGCCCCTCGGCGCCATCGTGTCCAGATTCACGGTTCGGCTCGTCCATCCCCTCCAGGGTGGCGACGAACGTCTCATGCAGCACGATCGGCTTCTCAGCGCCATCGTGTCTCTTTCACGGTTCGGCTCGCCCATTCCCTCCAGGATGGCGACGACCGTCTTATGCGGTACGATCGGCCCCTCAGCGCCATCGTACCCAGCTCACGTTCAGCTCGTTCATCCCCTCCAGGGTGGCGACGAACGTCTTATGCATCACGATCGGCTTCTCAGCGCCATCGTGTCTGGCTCACGTTAGGGTCGCCCATCCCTTTCAGGATGGCGACGAACGTCTCTTATGCAGCACGATCAGCGCCCCAGCGCCATCGTGTCTGGCTCACGTTAGGGTCGCCCATCCCTTTCAGGATGGCGACGAACGTCTCTTATGCAGCACGATCAGCGCCCCAGCGCCATCGTGTCTGGCTCACGTTAGGGTCGCCCATCCCTTTCAGGATGGCGACGAACGTCTCTTATGCAGCACGATCAGCGCCCCAGCGCCATCGTGTCTGGCTCACGTTAGGGTCGCCCATCCCTTTCAGGATGGCGACGAACGTCTCTTATGCAGCACGATCAGCGCCCCAGCGCCATCGTGTCTGGCTCACGTTAGGGTCGCCCATCCCTTTCAGGATGGCGACGAACGTCTCTTATGCAGCACGATCAGCGCCCCAGCGCCATCGTGTCTGGCTCACGTTAGGGTCGCCCATCCCTTTCAGGATGGCGACGAACGTCTCTTATGCAGCACGATCAGCGCCCCAGCGCCATCGTGTCTGGCTCACGTTAGGGTCGCCCATCCCTTTCAGGATGGCGACGAACGTCTCTTATGCAGCACGATCAGCGCCCCAGCGCCATCGTGTCTGGCTCACGTTAGGGTCGCCCATCCCTTTCAGGATGGCGACGAACGTCTCTTATGCAGCACGTCTGCCCCTCGGCGCTGACATGCCCGGTTTATCGATGAGAGCCACCGCTTTCTATCACATCTCACATTCCTTCTCTCATACATTGCACCCATACATTACATGCATTCATGCATTCATGCATCATACCTCATACATTCATACATACACACGTGCATCGTGTTTTGACAGTACCGCGACGTCGGTTTATAGATACATGGACCTCTAAGCTTCTCCGATTGGAAAGCTCGAGTCAAAGTCCTTTACTCCCGCCTGATGCATTCAGGGGGAGTGTGCCCGTGGAGGAGCACCCTTCGCCCGACCCCGTCGGGAAGGGGGTGCCTCACCGGCAGATTACGTTCAGGAGTGCAGACACCCACTCGTATATTATGATTATTCGAAGACACAGTTTCCAGCAAGACAGAGGAAGAGCGCAGGCAGAGTATATTTTCTCGAGCAGATTCGCGAGCTCACTACTCAAGAAACTGGGGGACTTGTGTTGGGATATATTATCCCGGCCTATTAGTGTTCAGGAGCCCAAGACATTATCCAGTACGGAGCCCGAGCAGCTAGGCCCATTTCGGCCCATCCGGCCCACTTTGACCACCAGGCCTGATATCGGCCCGTTTGGCCCATTAGGGTGGAGAGCCCCTTCTCTCCTTCCCCTATAAATACGGAGCTTAGCCTCCATGTAAAGGATCCCCTTTTTCCTTTCTTCTTCTCCCTCCTTAGCTAGATTAGAACTCCATTAATGGGAGCTTCAAACAAATTGTACTATGTAATGGTGAGGAGAGTCCTAATGAGAAAGAGAGGGCTTGGACATTAGCCTAAAAAGTCCCGTGGTTTTCTCCCTTTCGGGTTTCCACGTAAAAACTGAGTTGTTCATACACATTTATACATATATTTACTATATCGTGTTGGATTAAACTCAACAGACGGTAAAGGGTTGTTTTATTGCCTTTCATCCAAGAAGACGAGAAGTGGCACAACTTTCCCAAGACTTTTTCAAGTGAGAATTATTACAACACGAGGAATTGTTCACTGCGTTTGGACTGAACTTCCTCATCTTTCTAGGTGTGTTGCATAATCTGCATTTAGTTTCATTCATTGAATTGTTTTGTTCTTTTTATGGAGTTTTTTCCAAAAATAATGTTAAATAAAAAAATAATTCCAAAAATATGGTTAAGTTAAAAGTATTTCCCAAAATACTGTTCCCCTAAACCTGAAACCTGAGTTAAAACAACCGCCACTTGAAGTGGCGGCTTATGCCAAAACGAGTAATGTGCGCTGAAGGAGGCCAAAGAAGTAACGAACATTGTCATATTGAGGTAGGGGTAGGGCCCCACAAAAATTAAAAATCTCATTTTAATTTCAAAGTGATAAAACTTTAAGTGGCGGTTCTTTTAACTCAGGTTTATGGGAGCAATATTTTGGGAAATACTTTTAATCTGACCATGTTTCGGGAATTATTTTTTTATTTAACATTATTTTTGGAAAAAAACTGCTTTTTATGTCGTTTTCTTTTAATTAAAAAAAAACTACTATAGTACACAAGAGGATGTACAAATTTTCATATAATTATTTTAGGGAAATCACATTTTCAATCCTTCAAAAATCCTTTCCCAATTTTGAAATAAGGGGGCTATATTTTCTATATAGGTATTTTTTGCAAAAGGGAGTTAACATGCTCTTCTACTATTTCAAATCCATCCCCTAATCCCCTGTGTTACAAAAAGCATCTTATGAGTATGTTTACTTTGAGAACACAATCATTTAAGTCAATTCATAAATTATGAAAATTCATAAATTTTGAAAAAATCTTATAAACTTGAAAAAATATAATAATATATAAATTCATTAAAATAAAAGAAAAAAAATATTAAATAAATAATCTAAAAACTTTTAAAAAAGGTGTAAAGTTAAAAACAAGTCCAAAAATGGCAAAACATAGAGTTAGACATTATTAAATTGTTCAGATGTTTTATTTATATTTATTTAAAATTTAACATTTTTTAGAATTTTATAAAATGAAAACCTGCTATTACAAGTTTAAAACCGATTACATGGCTGGATCGAAGTATTTTTTGAATGGCTAAAGGGTCAAATAGGTACATGAACTAACTTAAAGTGTTCAATTAGCCCCTTATATAGGAGGTTCTGCCCGGTCGTCGCCAATTGGGGCGGTTCCCGGTGGAATTTTTTGATGAAATTTTTTGAGCATCTTCTTCATTAAGTCTAGTTTATCCATACCAAATTTCAGCTAAAAATTCAACCGGGAAGGTAGTCAAATGATTTTCCGAATTGTATTGCGTTGTTTAACTGCGCAGTTATCTTCAAAAAATCATTTGACTGCCTTCACGATTGAATTTTCAGCTGAAATTTGGTATGGGTAAACTAAACTTAATGAAGAAGATGCTCAAAAAGTTTCATAAAAAAATTCCACCGGGAACCACCCAATTGGCGACGGCCGGGCAGAACCACCAATACAAGGGACTAATTGAACACTTTAAGTTAGTTCATGTACCTATTTGACCCTTCAGCCTTTTTGAATTTATCGTATTTCAAAATGATGCTTTATTTAGTAAAGGAGTTTAAGTGATGTATTTGAATTAGTTGAAGAGTCTATTTGACATTTTCGCTTTAAAGTTTTTGAGGTCGTTTGACAACACTATTTCGGCTTATCAGGTTTATCAATCATTTTTTTCACCAGACATGTAACTTTATATTTTGCGCGCTGAATTGTGTAATAAGCAGAAAAATTTGGAGTTACTTTTCTAGCTGTATTGGCAAAAGTTAGTGTAGATGACCATTTAAGCTATTTTTACATAGCTAAAATTTTTCAAAATATACCCGAAGTGTTTTATTTAATTATCACCTAAATAACTGTTCCATTTTGCTATGGGAACCTTCTAGCGGGACGGAGGTAGTACTTATTAGTAGTAATTAACTTTTATTTTTAGATAACTTAAAGATTTTATATTGATAAAATAATAAATATTCATCTCAACTATATCACATAGAACGTATATATTCATAAACGTTTTTGAACTAGTCACAAACAAATTAAATCAATAATATATACAGTTCTATCTAGGGGTGGACTCGGGCCGGTCGGACCGAACCGGTACTGTTCCGGCCCGGCCCGGCCCGGGAACCGGTCAGCTGGCCAGTTCGGGCCTACCCGGCCCGGTAGGTAGGAGGTCCGGGCTCGGGCCTTGCAAATGATGAACCGGCCCGGCCGGGCCCGGTTTGGGCCTCCAACGGCTAATTTTTATTTTTATTTTTAAATTGAAGAAGGCTCCTAGCCGTTGGGAATAATCCCAAACGGCTCTATAGCCGTTGGAGGGGGAGGAGGGGGGGGGGGGGGGTCCGGGGGGTTTGGGTGGGGGTGGGGGATACCAAAAAATTCTATTTATACTCCTATTTTCTCTACATTTTTCACACCATCTTCGTACAATCCTACTCTCTAATTTTCTATTCTCTCATACTCAATCATCTCCATCTTCATCTTCTCCAAACCTCTCTCTACACACACACACACACACACACACACACACACACACATATATATATAATTATTATATCTACTTATATATTAATTATCTACTTATATACCTATATTGTATTACTAATATTTATTATCTACTTAACATATACTTATTATCTACTTATACATCTCTATCTTTTTAATATTTACTTTATTATCTATATTTATTGTTATTTACTTATATATATTAAAGTATTATATATAAGTGTATTACTCATCTTATAGTAATATACTTATATATTATATACTATAAACATTATATTATATATTAGTTATACAATAATCTACTGGTATACCTATATTATATTACGAATATTTATTATCTACTTAATATATACTTATTATCTACTTATACATCTCCATCTTTTTAATATTTACTTTATTATCTATATTTATTGTTATTTACTTATATATATTAAAGTATTATATATAAGTGTATTACTCATCTTATAGTAATATACTTATATATTATATACTATAAACATTATATTATATATTAGTTATACAATAATCTACTTATATACCTATATTATGAGGGCAGTTCACATCAGGAGTTCCTGATGAGAAGCCCCGTGCGGACAAGACCATCAGAGGGTCTTCCCGGTAGAATTTTTTTTATGAAATTTTTTCAGCATGTTCCTCATCAAGTCTAGTTTGTCCATTAAAAATGTCAGCTCAAAATTCGATCGGGAAGGCAGTCAAATAAATCCTGGAAACATATGGCTCATTCTGCGCACATATAATGTGCAGTATGTCTCCAGGATTTATTTGACTGTCTTCCTAATCGAATTTTGAGCTGAAATTTGGTATGTACAAACTAGACTTGATGAGGAATATTCTCAAAAAAATTCATCAAAAAATTCCATCGGGAAGACCCTCTGATGGGCTTGTTCGCACAGAGCTTCTCTTCAGGAGCTCCTGATAGGAACGGGACTCACTATATTATATTACTAATATTTATTATCTACTTAATATATACTTATTATCTAATTATACATCTCCATCTTTTTAATATTTACTTTATTATCTATATTTTTTGTTATTCACTTATATATATTAAAGTATTTTATATAAGTGTATTACTCATCTTATAGTAATATACTTATATATTATATACTATAAACATTATATTATATACGGAGTATTAGTTATACAATTATATTAGTTACACTTGAATTCATAGTAATTAAATTCATCGTATTAGTTAATTTTTACCTTTCTCATTATCCTAATTTAGTTAATTAATACTTGTCTTGTTTTTTCTATTAGTTAATTCATCGTTTTTTTATTCATAATAAAAAAGTAGTTAATTGTTACATTTTTCATTAAAGTATTAAAGTGTTAATTGTTACATTTATCATTAAAGTATAAAAGTAGTTAATTGTTACATTTTCCATTAAAGTATAAAAGTAGTTAATTGTTACATTTTTCATTAAAGCATAAAACTAGTTCATTGTTACATTTTTCATTAAAGCATAAAACTAGTTAATTGTTACATTTTTCATTTCGCTATTAGTTAATTTGTTAATTGTTGCATTTATCATAAAAGTATAAAACTAGTTAATTGTTAATTGTTGCATTAAAGTTTAAAAGTACTTAATTTTATTAGTAAGTAGATTCTTGGAAATTTGCTATAATTTTATAAGTCGCATTTTATTATTACTATTGTACTCATATTAAAACATTTGATATCATATAATATTTGTTACATTTTAAAGATGGACCGTGGCTGACATTCCGTAGATATGGGTAATCTCCCACGCAACCGAAGGAAGGAGATTGCGACAAGTCATCCTAGTTTATGCAAAGGCAAAGGTAAAGGGCGGAGCGGGTCTTCTTCTCAAAGTCGAGAAGATTTTGAAACGGGATACCAAAGGCTAGATGGGGATGCGTTGTCTGACGAGCAACTACAACAACTATTGGCGCAAAATGATGGTCGCTTTTTCCAACAACAAAACATCCCGGAGTCCATTGATGAAGAGGAGCTTGAGAATGATGATGCGGAGGAGGACGAGGGGGGCGACGGGACTCACGGCACCCCGGATGATGAGCAAGAGTTGGAGGACGAGGGCGGTTCATCCCAAGTTGGTAAGAAATCTAAATCTCCTATAATAGAAAATAATTTTACAAAGAGGAAAGACCCAACAACCGATAAATGGTACGCAAGTTGTGATCATTGCAAGGAGTATAGCTTGGGAACTTCCGGCGGATACGGGAGCCTCAAAAGTCATCTTAAGTCCGTGCACTCTGTGGAGTATGCGAAAATAGACAAAGGCAAGGGGAAACAAACTCAAATATCGAGGTTTGCAAACGACCAACCTTTTGGTAATTTCTCATACAATGATGCACGAAATTTGACTGGTATGGCTAACTTTCTTGTTGAAGAAAATTTGCCTTATTTGTTTTCTGAAAGTCTTGCTTTTAAAGATTATGCACAAACTTGTTTAAATCCTCAATTTAGACGTTATAGTCGCAAAACGGTTAAGAAAGAAATTATAAGGCTTTATCGTGCGGAAATGGATATGTTACAAAATATTTTTGCAAACTTTGATGGCCGTGTAACTATTTGTTCTGACATTTGGGAGGATAATTATCATAATTTACATTATTTGGGCCTGACTGCACATTTTATTGATAATGATTGGAATTTGCATAAACGTGTTCTTGCTTTTTGTGAATTTAATGATCGTCACACCGCTGAACATATTTATATTTTGATTGAACATATTTTAACTGAGTATAATTTGATTGATAAGGTGTTTGCTATAGGTTTTGATAATGCTACTAATAATACTGCTGCTATACCTAGATTGCGTGAATTGTGTGGTTCTAATACTTTGATAGGTAGATTTTTCATCAACGATGTGCATGCCATATTATAAATTTATGTGTGCAAGACGGTTTAAAAGCGTTAGGAGATGCTATGGAGGTAGTCAAGGAGGGGATTAGACGTATTTGGGGCAATGGTCAATTTAAATTAAAATGGCAAAATTATTTGATTGAAAGAGGTGTGAAATATGTTGCTTTTCCTAAAGAATTGTCTATTAGGTGGAATAGTACTTATAAATTAATTAAAGTTATTCTTAGATATAAAGAACATTTTCCTGCTTTTTTAAGACAATATGATAACTATATTTTAAACTCCGCTCACATCGACACTTGCGAAAAAAATTATAATGTTTTATTCCATTTTAATAATGCAACTGATAGTTTTAGTCATGTTTATAAACCTACCTCCAATGAATTTATTCATGAAGTTGTTAATCTCGCCGGTGCTTTTAATGAATTTGAGAATGCCGCTTACGTGAGTTATTTTTGTGGTTTTATGAAGGAAAAGTTTTTAAAATATTATGCACATATTCCGCATATTTATGGTATTGCATTTATTCTCGATCCTCGTTATAGACTTGGTAATTTGGAAGAATGCTTGAAGTTCTATTATAATGCTTTTTTTGGTCCATTTCCAATGTATGACGATAACGTCATAGATCTGCAAGTTGAATACAACGAGGTTAGTAATTTATTTTATGCCTTATTTAATGAGTTTCGTGCACAATATGGCAACGCGCCCCCTCCCCCGACACATACATCTTCATCTAAAGAAAAATCACTTTTTAAATCTGCTTTTGGCAATCTTATGAAAAAACCTAAAACAACTCTCACTACTGAACAAAGCGCACTTAATGAGATTTCTTTGTATATAAATTATGAGGTAGAATTTGACGAAAATAAGGAGTTTGACGTTCTAAAGTGGTGGAAGTCAAAAGAAAGAATGTTCCCGAATTTGGCACGGATGGCTAAGCAAGTGCTATCAATGCCAATTTCGACAGTTGCCGTGGAACAAGAATTTAGTTCGGCCGACAACGTTCTAACGGCATCTAGAACGAGTTTGAGCGCTGAGTCTCTTGAGACGCTTATATGCTACCACGATTGGTTGAAGGTCATACGTAGATGTCAAGAAATTAGCATCACCCCCTCCCAAAACTTTATGGATGAATCAACAACCGAGGGTGGCTCCTATGCCGGAGATTCTGATTGATTAGTATTTTACAATTTATTATAAAATGTATTTCATGTTTTAACTTTTCCCTCAATTCTCTATTGTAATTTGTAAAGTTGTAGTTCATATTTCAAATAAATATACATTCTTTTTTTATATGTAGCACTTCTCAAATTAATTAATTAGTTAATTGGTTACAAACTTACAACTTACAACTTAGAATTTATTGTATTAGTATTTTTGAAAAATGTATTTCATATTTAAGTTGTATTAATAAGTTTAAAAAAATTACACAGGCCCGACCCGACCCGGCGGGTGGTACGGCCCGGGAACCGGGCAGGTGACCCGGCCCGAACCGGCACTGGGCGAAGGACGGGCCGGTTCCGGGCCCCCCATTCCAGGACAAGAGGCCCGACCGGGCCTAGGCCCGGCCCGGGCCCGAACCGGCCTGAGTCCAGGACTAGTTCTATCTATCTGGCATACTCATATAATTCAAGACATATTTTATCTCTTCTCAGTTTTATTTTATTTGTTGTTGTATTGTGCTTGCATTCGTTTGATCCCACTAAGTATTATATCAATTTTAAATCAAGTGATAATTTTTTTGTTAAAACCCGAAAAAACCGAAACCGAACCGAAACAAACCGAACCAATCAAACCGTGGTTCCAAGTTTTGGAGTGTAAAACCGAACCAAAACCAACCCGAACTTTTACTTTGATTCTATAGTTGGTTTTAGGTCAAAACTGAACCGCAAGAACCGAACCCACCCCTAGTAAAGTCTTCTAAATCTTTTACTTTATATATCCAAATTTTATCAAATTTAAGTTTTTTGTTTAATGAATTTATAAAACTTATAATGCAGGACCTGAATATGTATATTTAACTTATTAAAAAGTCTAATTACAGACAGAGATTAATTAAATTTATGGTCAGTCAATCAATATTATTTCAATTCCTTAATTTGAAAATCTCAATATGTATTTTTAATGATTCTCCTATTTTAAGAGGGATTTGAATGGAAATTGTATTAGTAAATGTAAAATGTCAATTTTGAAAATAAATGAGAAAAACATGTCAACTGGTCTTTAATTATTACCTCTTATGTTTTGAAAACACTGGCATTTCTATCGCATGTTTTCCAACGGAGAGTATTGCTTTTATTGAGTATCTTATAAGGAAAACTAATTAATCACTTGATATAAAACTCACTTGATTTTTTAAAATAAATAAAAAATTCACTTGTTTTTATAAATTCAATTTATTCTTTATATTTATTTATTTTAAATAGAAAGAATTATTATCACTAAAAGCAAAAAGATAGAATATAAATCAAATGGAAAGAAATATGAACAGTATATATAGATATATTAAAAACTGAAAAACAAAATATAAAAACAACAAAAATACTGTAAACTAAATTGACCTGAACTGTAGGCGAAAAAGAAATGGAAAAATGAAGATAGAATTGATTAATTAATTAATGGGGCTTGATTATTATTATTAGGTAGATTTCCCAAAATATGACTAAATGGAGTTTCGAATTCCAAAATATGACTACTATGTTTTTATTCCCAAAATATGACTAACATGATAGTATTTACTGTCATCTTGTAGGTATGACTGTCAAATAGTTGCAGTACAGTGCATTTAACATGATACTCCCCCCGTCCTCCTATAATTGTCCCATTTTGCCATTTTTGGATGTCCCCCTATTATTGTCGCATACCATATTTGGTAACATTTGTGTGATTCTAATTTATTCTTACTTTATTCTCACTTTATCAAATCATTATCAACCACACAATTCTAGTTTTCTTAAAAACCACACCACTTCCTTCCGTCCCAATAATAGGGGGACGGAGGGAGTAATATTTATTATAACTAATGACAGAATTTTTCAATCATGATAGTATTTTTCATAGATGGCAGTAACAACTCTTATTTTGGTCGTCTGTGTGTCGCACAAACTTGAAATATAGTATTAGTATATAAATTGAATGGAATATGTGGGAAATACAAAAATATTTCAAAATATACATATTTTCTTGGTAGAATATACAAATTATTTCAAAATACCGAATGAAAGATTTTCAAATTATATTTGATTTTCTAGAACCAACTTAATAAAACATTCAAAATATGTACTCAAATTCAATATTACAAAATATTCCAAATATACAAATTCTCTCTAAATGGAATGATTATATTCTTTGTAGCTTATTTAGAAATGGAAAAAGGGTCAAATAGGCCCTCCTACTCTTCCGAAACCGTCACATAAACCCTCCAACTAAAAAAAGGGTCACATTAACACGTCTACAATTTTAAACAATCAAAAGAGTCTAGATGACTGAAACCCAACCTCTAAATACCGGTGGAATCCTACGTGGACAAGTACTTTCGTAAAATATGTATTTTGTTCCATCTCATACCAATTGCATCATATCCCCCAAAGAATCACGTTTAATGTCTCTTACGGTTGTGGCTAAGAAATTTCAAACCATCCATGGAGAAGAGGAGTGCATCCATTGAATTCGGATTTTAGAATTTTGCCGAAGACCCAAACCAACCGTCCATCTATCTAAAGCTCAAGTAAGTTCATCCTCTCTCCAGTCAAGTGACTTATTTGACTTTATTTCAAGAGTAAGTGTGCGGATATGACTTTTTTTAAAGTTTAGGGGGTTAAGTGATGGTTTGATAATAGTAGAAGGGTTTATTTGACTCTTTTTCCTTTAGAAATTGATGCTTCATAGTATATGTAAATAATATGAATTTAGGACTTAATTGCAATTAATGACTACTCACTAATTGGACTCAATAACAAATAATTGAAAATTCAATTTCAATTTAGAAGATTGTAATTTATTATTAGTAGATAATTTAAGGAGATGTATTGAACATGTGATGAAAGGTGTTTTTGTACTTAATAGCAATTATATCATTCATCAATTGTACTTAATAGCAATTAGATAATTGATAAATTGTTTTCAATAGCAATTACTATAAAGGTTCTACTTTATTTATAAGTAAGTAGATAACAAATAATTGAAAATTCAATTTCAATTTAAAAGATTGTAATTTATTATATGTAGATAATTTAAGGAGATGTATTGAACATGTGATGAAAGGTGTTTTTGTACTTAATATCAATTATATCATTCATCAATTGTACTTAATAGCAATTAGATAATTGATAAATTGTCCTCAATAGCAATTACTATAAAGGTTCTACTTTATTTAGAAGT